AAATGCATAAGACATATATATTTTTGAAGGGGGGAAATGGTCTTCACAATTTGAAATCGATCAAACACACTATGCGCGAATGCTCGTGTAAACGCGCGCCATCTATCGTAGGATAAATGTACTTCGCGGGAGTGTATTAAAAAACTTCCCGAAGTTTCATGGCAATCGTACTATGCCACAAACCTTCGCCGGAGTATATTAAACAACTTCCCAAAGTTTCATGGCAATCGGATAAACGGTGTGGTAATGCATGAAGGACATAGGACACACAGACACACAGACACACAGACAGACATACATTCATTTTTATATATATAGATAACAAAACTGATTGTTTTGTTATCAAAAAGGTGCTGCACCACAGTAAACTCAGGCTGGATGGCCGAACGGTCAAGGTGGCAGCCTATCGCTCTGGGGGACCCGAGATCATATCCGGACGAGGTCAAGAATCTCCAGAAATTTTTCGGAGAGTGGTCTGTTCGGATATGTTGGTCTCCGTCCCTCACCACCCGGTCGCTCCATTATGGCCGAACCCATAATGGGCCTGTTGTAATAGGCCCTCTTATTGAATATGTAAACTCCTTAAACATAATCAATAGTCATTTTAAACATTTTTATTTTTCAAATGAAAATGCTTTCATATTAATATTTTTGATGAAAATAACTTAGATAAACATGGGCATTCACATTTTATCCACACAATTGTACGCCATACTTTTTTCAATACATTTATTCTGTTCTTGGTTTACCTTTGTCTAAAAGTTTTTTGATCCACTTTATACTTGAAGAATCAAGAAATTTTTAGACAAAGGACGAAATAGAATTTTTATTCAATTCAAGGTGTTAAAGGATTCAATCAAGTATCCTGGATAAATAATATGATAAAATCATATTCTTGAAACAATTATTACGCCTTTTTTTCGCCCTGTGGGCACTAAGAGGGCCTCTTATAGCAAGTCCATTATGGATTCGGCCCACAATGGGGCGGCCGGATGATGAGGGACGAGGATCGACATATCCTGTCGGACCACCCTCTCGAAAAATTCCTGAGGATTTTTTGACCCGTTCTGAATTGTATCCTGGGTCCCCAGAGCAGTAAGCTGTCAGCTTGACCGCTCGGCCATCCGACTTCATTATTACGTCTGTATTTTGAATGAAGGAAATGAATGAATTTGATTTATATATTTTCTATAGTAACCATATTACCATAGAAAATTCGTACAAAATTCAAATTAATTACCATTTTTTAAAATTTTTATTAGAATGAAATTATATGTTACATTTTTCAAATTAAAAGTTCATAGATATCCGAAAGAAAATAATAATTATAATTAAAATTGCGCCATCTACGTAAATAAAAAAAGTACATATTTATCTTTTAAAATACTTTTAAAAATATTTAAACAAAGGTTATAAAAATAAACGTTAAAAATTAATAAATCTAACAAATCTTAAACGCCACTTATAATAAATTTTCGTGAAAAGCGGTCGATTTTGATTTTTGAAATCGATTATCTTCTTCGTTAGGAGCGGAGAAAATGGCGGATTTAAGTGTAAATAACGGTTGGGTCGACGATTATAGAAAATTCTTGTTTATTTACGATAAGATTCGCAAATGTTGAAATTAATTGTAATAAGATCGTTTCTTTTTTTCAAATATATTAGTTTTATGCATTTATTTTAAAGGCGTGGCTTCCTTTGTCTGATTTTTCAAGAAAGAAATTTTTCTAAAGGTTTGTCGCTCTTTATTCTTTATGTAATTTATATTGTCAGATGTTTATTCACATATATAAACGGAAACATACTAAGATCGAATCACATTTGTTAGAAATTAAAGCTCTTAAACACTTCTACACTCCGTTTAAATTAATATAACACAGGTTAAAATATTTATATATACAATATTGGCAGCGATATTCGCGATTATAACTTAAAACACGTGACTTTTTTCATTATTATATGAAACTGATTAATAAAAATTGTGTCAATTTCATTAATAATGAAGAATTAAGTTATTTTTTTAATGTTTTATAACAAACGTTCATTTGATATATGATACCTCGCTAATTTCCTGACACCTTATACTATGTAAAATTATTTAAAAATTACATTAAAATTATTCCTAAATTTATTTTTATATATGAGGAAAATTTAATCATTAATCTTACAATTTTGTAGAATTTAAAATATTTCTCTGTTATTTTCAATGGAATTAAAATGTTCTGAAGTTGCCCATATCTTCCCTGTTCTACTTACGATTATGCAAATTGTATTAGGGTATGACTATGCAGACGTGAGCGAGCGAAAATATGTGGTGAAAAGAGGCGAGACATGATAAATATCAAACCCTGTCAGATATGTGCCAGAACCAGAAATTTGCTCATGCCAGCGAGATTTCTCACTTCTTGCTTGTGCGTGTTTTCCTTTTTGTGAGAGGTTGCGAGAACTGTATCACTCGAGATGTCTCGCTCGCTACTAAATTCGCATCTGCATAGTCGCACCCTTACTGATATAATTTATTTCTAGTCTTTCATTCATTACATATAGAAATTATATGTTAACTTTTCTACAAACTGAATTTTTTATTTATTTATTAGATTATTAAATTTTGTTACTTCAGATTTTTTTGGGAAATGTTTAAATTTCTTTNGTTCTGTATTTTATTTATTAATGCATTTTTAATAATGTTTGGTTAATAAGGATCTATTTTAAGCTTACAAACAAATTTTAGTTTTTGATATAGTACAGAAAAAAGTAATCTAAATTTACGAATGCATGTACCGTAAATACAGTATATATTTGTAAATGTATATATTTTAATATGATTTTATGTGCTTTAAACGCTTTTCTAATGATATTACGACTTCAATATTTGTGGCGGACAGACAAAGTCGAACAAAATGACTTAAACTTGATTTTATTTTTCTATATACTTTTTTGACAAACGACGTATAATCGGGAATGATGTAACTCAAAACGACGTAAGTCGAGGTATACCTGTATATATTTTTTGCATGAATATAACATCTTAAAAACTAATCTATACATATAATTAAGATTGGTTGATAGTAATAATAATAAATGCAGAGCCCAAATGGTTAGGAGTTGAAAGTTGAAATTTGGTACACAGTATGGGTATGTCATGAGAATGCACACTAAGAAGGGATTTCTGGAAATCTCCCCGTGAGGGAGATTTACCCTGAAGAACTTGGCTTCTACTGTACTATTTTAGATGTGGTTTTTTGCATTTTTGTGGGAAATGAAACATATTTTTAGACTCATCTAAAAATTCTCTAATTAGCCTAGGAATAGGAGACCTAATTCTTGCACCTGGTGAAATTGGGTAAGATCGCCTATAATCTAATAATCTTAATCTTTGCTATCATTACCTTTTGCCCGAGCACCAGACTCATCTGGAATATGTAATAATGTAATCAAACTGTAAAATTTCATCATCACAAAAAATAAATATTGAATTCTATAAATATCAGACAGATCTATCAATTTCAAATATTGCAGATATCTTTTAGTATTGTAAATGCAGGTCCAAATTACATTAGTTTTTTAATAGAATTTCCAAAATATAATTTTGTAAATTTTATAAAAATAAAATAATTACATAGAAGAAAAAAACAATATAAAAACTTATAATTCATTCAAAACTTATAATATTTAAAAAAAACGGTATAATAATATTAATAATTGCTGTCATAGTAATTTATAAACATTCATTCGAACAAACAATAAACAACGACTCCATTAATATTTTCACCTACTACGCAAATGATGTAATTTCCGATAAGTGTTTAACAATACGTTAACTTCCAAAAGAACATTTTGTTTGAATACCAATAAAATAAATATATTATTGTAACTGTAAATTTAATACAATTAACTGTGTTAAAATAACTGAATATGTTTTACGATCGTATAAAAAATTTGAAGCACGTGGTCCAAATAATATTCTGTTAAATATGATTATACTTATAACAATTATTTAAATCACACATTTATTTTATTTAACTAGAAGCGCATATTGAAAATCTTATCATATAAAATATTGTAGTTCATACCAGTAACAAGCAAATTAGGAAGGCATCTAGTCCATCCGTTGGAAGTCATGTTGATTCTGTTTGCTTCTCCACGTGGCTACTCGTGCTGACATCTACTTAGGTCAAAATTTAAAATTATATTGCGTAAATATGCTTCAAGTAATTTTTTACATAAATTTTAAATCTCTTAAGAATTTATTAAGTAATAACTATAAATAATCATATATTTTTATGTTTTAATTAAATATCATTACAGAGGATGTCCCGTAAGTCAAAAACCTCAAGATGGCAGCCTACCGCTCTGGGGGACCCAGGAACGAATCCCGACGGGTCGAAAAATTTTCTGAAATTTTTCGGGGGGTTGGTCCGACCGGATATATTGGCCCCCGTCCCTCACTACCCGGCTACCCCATTGTGGGTCTGGTCGAACTCATAATGGGCTTCCTAGAAAAGATCCTCTTAGCGCCCACAGGGCGGAAAGAGTTTTAAAAAAGTCAAGAACCATAAGAGTTATGTTGATCTTTAATTTACTCTTTTACAAAAAAAAAGCATGGCTCTGAGTAAGAAGGAATGTATTCAAGTTATTTTGATGGTGGAGACCCACAGTCAATGAGAAGTCGTCCGAAGAGTTTAAAAGTCTGCGTCCAGACTTCCATCAATCACATACAGACAGTTAAATTCTTCTGGCAATTTCTCATTAACTGTGGGTCTCCACCATCAAAATAACTTGAATACATTCCTTCTTACTCAGAGCCATGCTTTATTTGTAAAAAAATAAAGATCAACATAAGTCCTATGGTACCTAACTTACGGAACATCCTGTATATCAATATACCTGTATATGAATTTGTATTGCTTTGTCTGTCATGTAATCGTATAGATGTAACATTTTGACTTCTATTATCGAAATAATAATAGTTTTTTTCGGTGTTGATGCGTAAATTATAAATTACAATTAATGATTAAAAATTTTAATGCCGGAGCGATTATTCTAAAAATTTAGCTATACAGTAGGGGAAATACGGACAAAATGACATATACGTACAAAATGACATAGGCAACATAATTCGAATTTGGCGGTCTCAAGCTCGCAACTGACCATGACACAACGTTATCCGAGCGGCTCTTACTAACCTGTCAAAATGTGAACGCACTCCTCTCATTCGCCCGAGTGTCATGGCCGACGACAAGAAATGATACGTTATGAGTTTTTTTCCTTGCAACAAGTTTTTTTGTATAGATGGTAATTTTTTCACTATTTTATCTATTTGTGTAACATTTATTTCAACCCTCAAGAATTTGTTGTTGCACTTAAATAACTTTTTCCATTAAAAGTAACATCTTTGTATTTATTTTATAATTTTGTTTTTTATAACGTTATATGGACAAAACGACATACATAGACAACGGACATAATGACATACCTGTTATTTAGTC